AACGAAAACCAAAGGACGATAACTGTGTCCTTGGACCTAATAGGATAGAAAGACTTGACCAATTTTAATAAAACTTTGCCTGACCTAAGCTTATGCAATTATAAGATAGTTGGCCAAGTTTCATGGCCATAGGATATATATTATAGAAACTAGGGCCATTTTAATATTGAAATTTGGTGGTTTATTTTTGACGTTTAAATCAAATATTTTCAACTGTCAAGATTTTGGCCTAAAAAATTTAAATATTGCAAAAATTTGCTTTTTAAATACTCTTGAATTTAATATAATAAGTATTAAAAGCAACAGAACACTCATTTGATTTATCAGATTTATTACAGTTATTCAAAAGTCAAATTTATATGAGCCTGTGCCTGAAAATAGAGATTTTTCGAATTAAGGGAAGCCTTACATAAACATGCATTTTTTTTCAACCAATTTGAAGTTTTTGATGTTTTTTAACCATACATTATTCTTCCATATATATTAAATGTACTTTAAATGTAAAGAAAAGTTACAAAAAGCATACCACATGAGTATAAAATGGTCTTAGGCCATGTAAGACTGAGAATTATTTCGAGTCGATTTAGGCCGTAGCCCATATTTACATATAAAAATGCACACAGAGGCTATAAGAAATTGAAATTTGTTACTTTTTGCTCATTTCTATGCTAAGATGTCATGATACAAGAAGTCTAATTGCAAAAGGACTCTTGAATTCAACTTTTTTTTGCGGACAGTATGGTCTGATGACCAGTTTTTCACTTTTCAATGGAAAACTTGCATGTAGTTTTAGTCTCATTTGGCATATATTTGAACCACTTACTATCCTAAAGAAGAAAATTATGGTAGCATATGAAATGAATAGGGTGTACTGATCATTGTAAAGTGTTTTTTTTTACAGATTTAGTGAAATATTTGTGATGGACTACAGATTTTATGTACAAAGCTCTTCACATTTCACATACATCAAACAGGCCGTTTAACCAGGGACATAAATACAAATATTCTGCACATTTTTTCTGTGATAATCTACTTTTCTCTAGATTCCGAGTTCACAAATGGTTAATTAAATTTGATTTAAGCATAGAAACACAAATATCAGGAACATAAAAAGCTGTCAGATAGAAAGTCAGCATGGCTCTTAGGCATAAAATGGAAACTGCTTTAAAATGCTTATTTTAGCCGTATAATGCCAAAATGGGACATTTTAACAGAATTTCTGTCAAAGAAAGATGTAAATCCTTTACTTTTATTGAGTTTGACAAATTGAAACCAGCAAACCATTCAGGAAAGTTGCCAAAGTACAGAATCTACATTTATGGAATTCATCTCTTAGGCCCGAGAACACAGTTATTTCGTAGTGCATTTCTTTTAGACAATAAATTCAAATTAAAAAAATCGCACCTGCTCTATCTCAAAAAGATTTTTACAGTGTAGTGTACTACTATTGATACAAATAATATCAAAATTATAGAAACTTCTACCAGCTCTAACTCAAAATATTGACAATTTTGTGTTAAGGGGGGCTAAAATTCAGTTTGACAGCTTCAGACATTCTAATTTTGGACCTTTTTTAACTGGACCAAATCACTACTTAAAATAAAGATTCAGCACCCAAATTTTTTTAACATGTAATTTCATCCCCTTACTTAATATTTCATGCATAAAATATCAAGAAATAAATTGGGAAAGTGTATCCAAAAAAAATGCAAGTTATACACTGTTCACACTAGGGACTATATTTGTAGACAACGAAAACCAAAGGACGATAACTGTGTCCTTGGACCTAATAGGATAGAAAGACTTGACCAATTTTAATAAAACTTTGCCTGACCTAAGCTTATGCAATTATAAGATAGTTGGCCAAGTTTCATGGCCATAGGATATATATTATAGAAACTAGGGCCATTTTAATATTGAAATTTGGTGGTTTATTTTTGACGTTTAAATCAAATATTTTCAACTGTCAAGATTTTGGCCTAAAAAATTTAAATATTGCAAAAATTTGCTTTTTAAATACTCTTGAATTTAATATAATAAGTATTAAAAGCAACAGAACACTCATTTGATTTATCAGATTTATTACAGTTATTCAAAAGTCAAATTTATATGAGCCTGTGCCTGAAAATAGAGATTTTTCGAATTAAGGGAAGCCTTACATAAACATGCATTTTTTTTCAACCAATTTGAAGTTTTTGATGTTTTTTAACCATACATTATTCTTCCATATATATTAAATGTACTTTAAATGTAAAGAAAAGTTACAAAAAGCATACCACATGAGTATAAAATGGTCTTAGGCCATGTAAGACTGAGAATTATTTCGAGTCGATTTAGGCCGTAGCCCATATTTACATATAAAAATGCACACAGAGGCTATAAGAAATTGAAATTTGTTACTTTTTGCTCATTTCTATGCTAAGATGTCATGATACAAGAAGTCTAATTGCAAAAGGACTCTTGAATTCAACTTTTTTTTGCGGACAGTATGGTCTGATGACCAGTTTTTCACTTTTCAATGGAAAACTTGCATGTAGTTTTAGTCTCATTTGGCATATATTTGAACCACTTACTATCCTAAAGAAGAAAATTATGGTAGCATATGAAATGAATAGGGTGTACTGATCATTGTAAAGTGTTTTTTTTTACAGATTTAGTGAAATATTTGTGATGGACTACAGATTTTATGTACAAAGCTCTTCACATTTCACATACATCAAACAGGCCGTTTAACCAGGGACATAAATACAAATATTCTGCACATTTTTTCTGTGATAATCTACTTTTCTCTAGATTCCGAGTTCACAAATGGTTAATTAAATTTGATTTAAGCATAGAAACACAAATATCAGGAACATAAAAAGCTGTCAGATAGAAAGTCAGCATGGCTCTTAGGCATAAAATGGAAACTGCTTTAAAATGCTTATTTTAGCCGTATAATGCCAAAATGGGACATTTTAACAGAATTTCTGTCAAAGAAAGATGTAAATCCTTTACTTTTATTGAGTTTGACAAATTGAAACCAGCAAACCATTCAGGAAAGTTGCCAAAGTACAGAATCTACATTTATGGAATTCATCTCTTAGGCCCGAGAACACAGTTATTTCGTAGTGCATTTCTTTTAGACAATAAATTCAAATTAAAAAAATCGCACCTGCTCTATCTCAAAAAGATTTTTACAGTGTAGTGTACTACTATTGATACAAATAATATCAAAATTATAGAAACTTCTACCAGCTCTAACTCAAAATATTGACAATTTTGTGTTAAGGGGGGCTAAAATTCAGTTTGACAGCTTCAGACATTCTAATTTTGGACCTTTTTTAACTGGACCAAATCACTACTTAAAATAAAGATTCAGCACCCAAATTTTTTTAACATGTAATTTCATCCCCTTACTTAATATTTCATGCATAAAATATCAAGAAATAAATTGGGAAAGTGTATCCAAAAAAAATGCAAGTTATACACTGTTCACACTAGGGACTATATTTGTAGACAACGAAAACCAAAGGACGATAACTGTGTCCTTGGACCAGGGTGCGTTTGTCCTAAAATAATTAACTTATTATGTGAGATGTAAAGTGTTATATTCCTTGTCTTAAGCCATGAAATTGTTATCAATATAATTTGGTGTACGCCAGCACGTGTTTTGTCTTCATTATCAGTGGTGCTAGAATCAAAACAGTTGGAATGTCAAATCAAAGACGACGTGCTAAACATTTAAATCCTAAAATTACGAAAATTATTTGTCGTTAGTTGCTGTTGGCCATACTTATTTACAAATTATCAAATCTTTATTACCGGTGTAAATATATCAACACACTCTATTAATGAGTTGCTTGATTTCTGCCAGCGGTACTAATAACAACAACAACAAAACACAGTACATATCGTAGAGTTTTCACACTTACTGAAAACTAATTCAAAACAATGTGTTCCCAGACTTAAATATTAATTCAATTTAGTCATTCTAGTATTCTTCCAACGAATTTAATGAGAAACAAAACATCATCAGAAATCCTAGAAACGCATGACCATGTACAACACCATTTGAAACGTTAATTTTGATTGGATAACGTCACCAATTTTTATTTATGAAAACGTAGGCGTATGCATAGACGACGTATGACGGTTATTTTAATGTATGATTTGACGTTGTTTTCTGTCAGTTTCATTAGAATGGAGATAACAATATTGTATTTTAAGCTCCGACGGCATCGAATCAACAAATCGATGCCGTCGGAGCTTAAAATATAATACAGTTATCTCCTCAACCGATTACTTTTAAGAATTACTTTATTCAAAAGATCAATAGTTTTACATGGTTATTTTTGTATAATATATAATCTGCAAAAATATTTAAGGGTACAGTTATACTATATGACTAGGATCGTTCTTGGTGTATTAAATGTAGATACCTGCTCGCAAGCCGAAATGTGTTGGTTGCAACAGTGAAATTGTTTTATGTTGAGCATCTAATGTTTTGATAGGGACAGCTTTATCTGCCCAGCTTTGATACCTGTAATATTAATATGATGACAAATAATCTTCTATAGCAACAGGTTAAAGTTCACATTCTCTATAGACAATTTTTCATATTACCTACTTCGACTCCAATTTATCAAAGTTTGTGTATTAAATCTGCTTTTAGACAAGATACATACCAGTAGACATAACCTCGTATTTTCCGTATCAAACAGTATGTGCAAAATGAGACAACCCTAATAACATAAGAAAGATATTGTATATGGCTGAATGAGTCGATTGTCAGTAATTATTTATGACACGAAATACAAATGGTTTCACGTGTAGACTAAACACCGGCATTCGTAAATATACACACCAAAAGTTATTTCTTGTAAAGTCTCTAAGAGAAGAAATATTACTGCAAGAACAACAAGTACAATAGAAACAATATCTCTTTCTGTTTGCGCAAAGCATATTCCTGAAAATCAGGCAGACTAGTTCTTTTAGTATCATTGATAAATACCAGTAACCATAAACCCAGATATCCGACTGATTGGCCCATTTCTTTGGTCTGTCACTATTATACTGGAACACTGTACTATATCTCTCTCCTGATGGGACGTTTGTTATATTGATAAAGCCCTGTAAGAGAAATGTGTTAAACCATAAAACATTTCGAAATATAAGTTGTAAAAACATCGACGATCATTGTATCTTTGTAAAATTTTTCAATTCACTTCATCTACAAAAGCAAAGTTGATATAAGCGATCCTTCCTGGAAACTATATAGTGTTATTTTCATTAAATAAGAATATTCAACAGTTTTGTGTAAAACAGTAAATATATTTTCCTCTTCTACTATAAGTTTTCTGTGAAAAGCTCTTTTTATCGTCAAAAATGCAAACATCACTGTATCAATTTAATGCATCTGAAGCGCTTTTATCGTTTACCGTCATCAGAAAAACTCAAACAGTGAACAGTACTTACATAGTTCGGCCATCTTGAAAGAGTTAATGGAAACCCATTCTCAAATATTTCTAAAGGAGCCTGCCGCAGTATGTATTTTCCGTATGGTACTATCTGTCCTAGGTCTGTTATACCGGCGGCTGATAGTTTCGTTTGTAATACCTGGAATGAATGGTTTAGATATGAATCCAGCATAAGAAGGAAAAAACAAGTGTACTGGCACTCTTTTATTAATGATTGCTTTCCAATTGTCAGATTTGAGAGCCAGTAACGAGTCTTGTGTCAGATGTAACAAATTGTCAGCCTGGAATCATTGATGATTTTTAAAGATAATAAAATCTCACAGACCTGTAGAGAAAATGAAACTCAACGTTATTTTACTACCCACAGAAGAACACGGAGAAGGGAAAAACAACAAGAAGCAGAATGATTTTTTTTTTAAATGAATATCCTGATTTCGTAAGAATTGAAAATAAATAATCTAGTTTCAGACTGATTATAAAGAAATATTTTGTCCAGAAAATACAGGAACTAAAAGTATGTTCAAATTCTAAATATATTTGTGTGTGGCAAAGCCAGCTGAGCAATATGTGAAAAAAATAGTATGACTATGGAAAATCCCCAACAGCTCCCCAATAAAAATGATATGGTATCTTTATATTTGACATTACCTTGTAATTGTTTGACGGTAGTATATTCTAAAGAGGGAATTATCAACAAGTCCTCGCACTGAGGTTTCACCAGTTGTAGCTAATGAACAATTTATTTCATTCACGTATCAAATACTAATTATTTATATACTTACATGCTTTTGCGCCTCTGATGATAGTCTTTGTAAAATGTTTGGATCAGTTACTTTGGTGAACTGATGGGATGGAATTCGTTTTCCTCCAGTCTGAAATTATAAAATGATGTCCATTTACTTCGAAGTAAGTGCCGACGTGTCTTTGTGAAAAAGAGGACCAGTCCACTTAACACCATTGTTAAAATAAATAGATACACACTTAAAAAATCACTATACATCATACACTAAATAAAAACAAAATAAACTCATCATAGATACAAGCTTAAGGATTGAAACGCGCGTTTCGTCTATAGAAGATTGATCAGTGACGCTCGAATCAAAAAAGTGTAAAAGGCACAATAAAGTATTGAGGACCCAAAATCCCTAAACGTTTTGCAAATTACAGCTAAGATAATCTATTTCTTGGGTAGAAAATCCTTAGAATTTCGGGAAAAAAAACCAACTAATTATGTAAACAGTTTTACAACTTTACAAGCGATATTGACCGTGATAGTTTAAATAAAACAAATTAATGAGATTTTTTTAATATTGCGTTCTACTTCTTACTATAATAAAACTGAACAATAAAATAAAAAACATTCACGAAAAATAACACTGATAACCGAAACAATAGAAATAAAGATACGAACCTCCAGCGTTAAATACAATACGATCGTAAAAAGGTATGACAATAATAGGTTCCACATGAACCTTCAGCGTTAAATACGATCGTTTACAGATATAACATAATGTACCTCATAAAACTTCAGCGTTAAAACAGATCGTTTATAGATACGACACATTGGTACCACAAAACCTTCAGCGTTGAAAAAGATCGTGTATAGATACGACAGCAGGTACCACATAACCTTCCAGCGTTAAATACGATCGTTAAAGATGCGACATTAAGTACCGCAAACCTAAAGCATGGAATATATTTGTGTAAAGATACGACATTAGGTACAACATGAACCTTCAGCGTTAAATACGGTCTTGGATAAATGCCACATTATGTACTGCATAAACTTCCAGCGTTAAATACGATCGTGGATCGATGCGACAAAAAATACCGCATGAACATTCATCGTTTAATACGATAGTGTACATATACGGCATTAGGTACATGTACCGCATGAACCGTCAGCGTTTAATACGATCGTGTAAAGATACAACATTACCTACAGTTTAAATGCTCTGCTTTTGATCAATCTTCTATAGGTTTGGCAGTTGGTTATTTATAAACTGATAATACCAATCTTACTGATGCGTAGTTCGACAAAACATCTTTATTCATTTGTGCACGAAGACAGAATATTTAAAAATCAAATTCATATTTAAAAATTGAAGGGTTGATACATGTAAAACCAAAAATTAACAGTAGCATAGTTAAAGCCGGGCAAGGAATCAAAGCTTTGCATGAGTAGATATATTCCTCAATTTAAAAATTCCTCATTTGAAATAGTTTCAAACACTGTAACATCAACTTTAGATAACGCAATATTCGTATGTTCATGCCAGTATACCCAACAGAGGTATCGACGCAGTGGAAGCAAAAAAATAAAAAAAAACATAACAAGTAAACGTTTTACTGCATCAGATGAACAATTCGACAATACATCAAGTATATATAAATAAGAAGGCACGAGCCAGATTAACTTCCAGAGTCTGATATGTTATTATATAGATACGGCAATTTGCACCGTTACGATCTATTAGGGTTTGATACGAATTGACAGATATATGGCAGTTCTTAGCACATCGACGCGATATATATGGAATTTGATAAGACTGTCGTACAAGTGAGAGGTTTAGCGCTATAAAACCAGGTTCAATCCACCATTTTCTACATTTGAAAATGCCTGTACCAAGTCAGGAATATGACAGTTGTTGTCCATTCGTTTGATGTGTTTTGTCATTTGATTTTGCCATGTGATTAGGGACTTTCCGATTGAATTTTCCTCGGAGTTCAGTATTTTTGTGATTTTACTTTTTTTTATATAGCTTTTTTATGAAATGATATAATCAAATCAGCCCTAATACGGAAAATCAGCATGTCCAATACTGAAGACGTGGCCCTGTTAATATCAACATAGCTGTTCGGCACGCTCCAGTGCAGGAAGAAAGCCGTATTAGCCCATGTCTAGATAAAATGAATCAATTTAGCATATATTAAGATCATGGACGAGATATCATAAATTTCATCAGTACTGACAACAGATTTGTCGATTCTGTGTAAAGACAAGATCAAATATGAATTTACAGTAAGTTTCTTAGCTTGATATAAGAATTAGAATCATTTAATAAACGTGTTATGAACGGGTTGTTTCTGCATATGTACGCACTGTTATAGATTCTCCACCGTAATTGGATGTGTATGTTACTAATGACAACGGATATACTCCAATTGTCGAAGCCGTAATCTTGTCCTTTTTTCCTCGATTATGACATTACCGAATACGAATTATTATCGAATGTGTACTAACTATGAGCAACACGAATACTGACACCGGTGTAGCAGGGCATGCTTAACTCTTCGGAGCACTAAAAATTTTTCCTCGTTTTTTTTTGGTGGGTGGAGTTTGTGTTGCTCTTTCTTTTATTTATGTAGGTAATGGTAGACTGTTGTTCGTCTTTTTCTCTCATGCTTTTGTCGGTCTCTCTTCGACTGATGAAGTATGATTGTCCCTTTGGTATCTTCCTCCTTTTTACTTCATATATTACAGTGTTAGACTGGTTCCCTGTCCTTTATCTGTTTGACTCTGACAGATATTATTGACAACAATGGTGTCTCAGATACCCGTATGTTGCAAGGGAGAAAACCAGCCTAACGACAGTGTGTATCTTGTATAATTTCAGGGTATAATACAAACTTATAAAGATACGTCAGTTCGGTACGAATCGACTTGCAGGCTTTGATACTAATGTACATACACATGAGTTATATGTTTTGATACGATCTTATATTGAAACACCACTATGGAATGTATAGACTCTCAGGAATTATAGAAAACTTATAGAAATATGAAAATACGTACCACATGAACTTTCTGGTTCTGATACGCTCGTATAGTAATGCGTCTATAATCATTTCGATTGTTGATGACAAGCGTTGAATTTAGATCATGGTATCCCTCCATCAACTCTATCCAAATATCTAAAAAGAGAGTAGATTCGGATTAGTATTTCTAGAAACATGCAAAACGTAAATCTTATCTGCAAACGTTTCTTATTTAAAATACATTTAAGATACTACAAACTAACTTCGCGTTTCGTCTTCACGATGCTCATAAGTGTCGCTATCCTAAAAAAAATTAAAAAACCTAATAATGTGTAATTTGGTGTCTTGTTGAGAGTTGTCTCATTAGCAATAATGACACATCTTCTTATTTTCTATTTACAACTGTTTACCTGACATGACAAAAACAAGGAATTTGTATTAACGATTTTCACATTGCTAGAAAAGAATCTCTGTTAAACAAGATGCATGTCGATCTTTGAATTGAGCCTGGGGAATAGTAGTGTAAAGCAAGAAAAATAAAAGGCTTTGATATTACATCAAAATTGTAAAGCTTGTTATTAAAGAATTCGGCATATTTCTTTATAATTTTTACGCATCAACATCTAATTGACACACTGTTGATAATACCCTGTCATAATATTTCTGATGATCTTTTTTATTGTAGAATGAATGGTGGTAAGAACTTTAGAAATATCTTAATTCGAATATCTGTACTACCCTGCTTTTCATTATACGGATTTTTGTAAAGTTTAGGTATCCAGTATAAAGATGATATATTTTTATCGTCTGGTTTTATGTTAATACCAAACGAGAAAGGGACGTTCATTAGCATCTCTTTTTTCGTGTTTGTTTTAGGGGTATATGTCAGATATCCGATTTTGATCTGAATTCCAAGTTCTTTAGTGTGACTGATTTCTGAACTGCATTCATCAGTAACCTGTAATTTCTTCTTTAAATTGATGGGCTTGGGAACTCGATAGTTCAAACCTTTGGTTAATAACTCTCTGAGTTGTTCATTTTATACGATGTCAAGCTCACCAGTTATAACATGTCCAACGGGAATATATTTGTAAGTGGATGAAGTATACGAGAAATTGGAAGGCTTAGATTTTACATCCCTGAGGGTAAATGTCTCTAATACTATCTTATAATTGAAAATATTTGACTCAATAGGCTTGGTGAAGGTATCGGAAATGACAGATTTAGTTTTCATTTTGAAGTAATCAGGTATTTTTTTCTTCACAAATCATTAATGGAAACGTTTACTTATATTGATGGCATCCACACCCTTATAAGCAAATTGCACATGAAAATAAAAAATATCCACCACACTCCGCTCCAGTTTGTGCATCTGTACCAAGCCATATAATAGGAGCATGTGTTATTCAATGGTTCTTGTCTTTGTTCGGTTAATGTGTTGTTCTCTCGAAGACTTGGGTATTGATAGTGTGCGTAATATGTTGTTGTGGTTTCTGTTATCATTTTTTATGTATAATTATATAATTAAAATTAGGATTAAAACGTCTTACTTTTGTTCTGTATATCCGATTCTGTGATACGTTGTATAGCTCTGTGAAGTGTCCTCATTGGATTAGAAGCATCAGTTCTAAAATCAAAATCGTAAAATAGAATTTAAGTAATTGAAATAATTTCAAATGGTGTCGAATAACACAAATTAAAGTAGCTCAAAGACTATATGTTATACAGGTTGTATGTAGAGCTTATTAAGACTATATGTTATACAGGTTGTATGCAGAGATTATTAAGACTATATGTTATACAGGTTGTATGCATAGCTTATTAAGACTATATGTTATACTGGTTGTATGCAGAGCTTATTGAATGGAGAGCATTGTAAATCAAAATATCTTACCCGACATTCAAATCAGAGCCAGTTGGACTGACGTACAAGTGAACATTTTGAAGTTCCGGTATTAAAAACCCACTTTTGAAACTGAAAAGACTGAAAAGTAAATACAGATCGCAAAGCATCGTTGTTTAAGCCAGCTTACGGTGCTTAACCTTTATATCATGTTATTGATAGTTGTAAAGTTTGTATGTACTACCATTAGGTTAGTCTTCCGATAAGACATGATAAAAAGATTTAAAATCTAAGGTCGTTGGCAGTAAGTAATTGTCGGTAATAATATAAACGAACAAATTTCGTGTTTACTTTTTCACTTGTAACCTGTTCAATCCTATTTTGCGGCGATTTACGTTTCGATTTTTTTTTTTGGGAAGGGGGGTATTCATATGAAAGAAGATTCAAGATTCACATTATTGAGTCGATTTATATATGCAAGTTTTTTCTACAAACGAAAGTCATGAAAAATAAACTGCTTGCTATAAAGAGGCTTTACTTGATTAAAATGTTTACTTTCTGTCACTATTGGTATAAGAAATGCTAGTCCCTTCAAAGCATCTGAGTTAACATCCGGTATTTTGTTAGGTTTCTTCTTTTCAATTCATTTTTTTGTGTTGTTTCTCGTGGTTTATTGTTTTGTCTGCTTTTCTTTTCTTCGCGGTTACTGGTCGCATTTTCCATCTGTTGGTACCTTTTGAAAACCTGAAATAATAATAATAACAATAATTATATGACACATTTTAAATATTCAGCACAAAATAGGGACACAAACTATTAACAACCATGTGGATGTAAATTTTCGCTGTTATGACATAACTTTCTTAAGTACTACCTTGATAAATTTTCCTTTTTTCTAAGAAAAGACTGTTATATTTTTTTGTCTATGAAGAAATAACATAAAAAATGTGGTGCACACTGAATAACCTGCGTATCATTTTTTTAAGGATATTTCGAATAGACAGAAAAAATATTACAGTCTTTCCTTATAATTTAATTCTAAACTCCATTTTTAAGGATGAAGTTAGATAAAATTAAATAAAACAATCTAGAATTTAAAACTAATACTATAAGTCAGAAGAGCATTAGTAAAGTAAAAAAAAAATAAGCTAAAGATATTGATAGGTTATAAAACTCCTTGTTGTAATATTTGATTATTAAAAAATGGCGGGAAAAGCTGACTCGGTCTTTTACCTTACATATAGCATTGTCATTATTTTGGTCACTAATCGTTAACAAAAATCTAGAATCTGCTTAAATTTTGGTAATAACCTTTTTATAAGCTATTGGAGTCTTTTATGAATAGAAAAGTCGGTGATATGGGGCAAAATATTTTACCCTGTATCGTAAAAAAAAATCCAAGAAGTCCGAACATCTGACAAAAAATCTTAAACCTGACCTTAAAAAAAACGTTGATGACGTCACGGTCACATACATATCTATGAATTGATAGTAAAAAAACTATCAGCCATGCAAGTAGAAGGCGTGTTACATCTAAAATTAAATTATTTAGATTTAGAACTAAAGTTCAAACTCCCTTCGGCTTTAATTTCTTTTTTCATTTTTTTGTGTTTGCATTCCTGACAAAGGTAAATACAGAAAGATTTCGAAGTGTTATCTTCATTTTATTGAAGAAACATCAATATATGCCGATTATCACTTCTACAGTATAAGTATTGTATTTACAGCTACTAACATTATTTTATCACTTTAAAATGGTAGATTTTGTGTTAGAATTTACACTTCAGTTTGTAATGATAATATGTGGTGCAGTAAAATTAGTACCGATAAAACATCTACCCCAGTTGCCTTTCGAGGATTTCGGATGTTTAGTTCGGAGCAAAACTTTTAGTCTAGTAGTTATCAAGGAAAAAGTGAAGTTGAATCAAAAGTCCATTTTATTTATTCTGCTTTTATTGAATCAAATTAATCAAAGACAAAATATCCACGACGCGTACATTAAACAGGAAATATTATGTCTTCTAGTTTTGAAATCTGATTTAATTTAAATACACAATATATAAAATTAAAAGTACGAGTTAGTTCACGTTGATGGAATATCTGCAGTGATGACGACGGAAGTGTTCCTATAGCCCACTTTCGAGTTCGTTGCATTTCCGCCAAAAAATTGGCTTTAATGAACATCATTCGTGCGTTTAAGGGCATCGTAACTTCCTTCAGATGTTGAGCGAGCGGTTAAAAAAATTTGATACTTCATTGCACGAATTATTCGGCAAATAAAAGTCTTTTAATTGATGATTAACACTGCTGTCGTTTGATTAGAGATGCTGTCGTTTGATTAGAGAATTGTGATTAAGTACCTACGGAATAACAATCATTTCAAGTTTATCCTGCATAATGACTATCACGAAGACGCTTGATCAATTTTAATAGTGCAGGGATACAGGCGGTCCCCTCTATCTGGTAAATGACGTCATAAAGGCGTGCATAATTAACGAACTTTTCAGGTAAAGTACATAACTCGAAAGTTGTCTATTGTCGTAACCGTCCTCTTTTTCTCGAATGTGACATCACCTAGTTAGACTTATTGTCGTGTTTGTCCTTACATTAACAGTACGACGGGTGTGACAACACTCCATCAGAGACCAAATGACATTGAAAAAAAGTAAAATTACAGAAAAACTGAACTCCAAGAAAAATTCAGTACGGAAAGTTGCTTATCAAATGGCACAATCAAACCTCAAACACATCAAACGAATGGAAAACAACAGTCATAATCCCGACTTTGCACAGCATTTCCTTATGAAGAAAATGGTGGATTAAATCGGGATTTTATAGTTTGTTAGATGTTAAAAGCGGTTGTCGTTTGTTGATGTGGTTTCTCGTTTCTCGTTTCTCACATAGATTAGGCCATTTTGAGCCCTTTATAGCTTGTTGTTCGGTGTGAGCCAAGGCTCCGTGTTGAAGGCCGAACTTTGACCTATAATAGTTTACTTTTTACAAATTGTGACTTAAATGGAGAGTAGTCTCATTTGCACTCATATCACATCTTCTTATATCTATCTAGCAGATTAAAGACTAGTTTTGTTTTAGGTCCTTATATGGAAATGGCATCGTTGAGAACCTGGTGGGACTGATAAGAAAACAAATGTTTAATAAAGGAAGCATAGTACTTCCTGATTATTTTTTATAGGCTCTCCTGCATCATGAATAAGACCTTTTCCATGAGGTTCTTGTAGGTGTACAAAGATCATGTCATAATTTTATCGAAAAACGAGACTCTGGTAAGAACTATGTAAACACACTCAATATAGATACCAGGATTACAATTTTGTACGCTAGACGCGCGATTAGTTTACAACACCCTCATCAGTGACACTCGAATAAAAAAGTTAAAAGACCAAATAAAGTAGGAAGTTTATATAATGGGTTAAAAAAGGAAATTAAGAGTCCAATTATCCACACCTGGTTTTGCAACATTAAAGATTGAACAAGTAAATTAAGATCAAGCACATCAGTAAAACTACACACTTGTAAAAGGAGTAGGCGGGGCAATCATATTGACCATCAATATCGCACAACTACAGCAAACATTTTAATGGTTGTTGGTGTTAAAATAGCTAAAGTAATTTAAAGTTTGAATATCCCTTTCAAATAATTAAACGTGTTCTGGTAAACCCCATGGTGCTCTACATCGGTAACGGCTTAAAAGCTAACACAGCATGTGAAAGATTTAGGCGGGGGAATGTTTCGGTTTTTTACCCAGAGTGCTACATTTACTTTAAATGTAGAAGGCACTTACCCTATTTGGCATTTAGTCCAAAGGTATCAGTATTTTGTAATGGGGTCATAAAATGTGGTTGACAGATATGAAACGGATATCACGGTAGAAACATAACAATGGGCGAGAGCAATGCTGTTATGTAGGCTGTCAAAAAGTAACATTTTGAAAACTGCGTTGAAATATGATATTGTTTATATAATGAAAAAAGATTGAGAAGAAACTTAGGCACTCAAATATCAATAGTAAATTAAAACTAGATAAGCAAATGGGTATAAAACTAAAAAAACTAACAAAAGCCAAGAAATCACTCCAGAAAAATCTAATAATGGAGCAACTAAAACCAAGGAATGATGTTAGCTGCTCAAGAAGGGTCAGCAGGTCCTATTCATTAAGTGACACCTGAATATGTGCTCTTGTTTAAATAAATTGATGAGTCATATTCAGTAATTAGGCATATAATATATAACAGTTGATTTATAATTGTCTCTTTTCTCACCCTACGAATCACACAATTTAAAACATTTAAAACCATTGGTACATTTAAATTATCTATAACTTATACGTTTTACACGAAATAAGGTTTCCTATATCTGTACATAGGATAAACAAGAGTTTTACTGGTTTACAACACAGACATTTGAAAATAAAGATCAAATAACACAACATTGAAAGCATTAACAACACGAATTCCATTTCTTTAAAGCTAGTGTTCTGGAAGGGTGTGTCGTTTTATGTAAACTGGAAGCATTCGTGATGTTTCTCATTACATATGGAAATTCGGTAAATTATAAAGTCGTTTTTATTGTCACTTGATGATACCACAATCGAAGAAAAGAAAAGGGTTGTGGCAAGGAGAAGTGAATCAGATGGTACTTAACGGTCAAACAAATCCTGATAGCGTCCTGAAAACGTGTATTGGATCATTGTTTAAATTGTCTTGCAAACAGCATTCATGTATAATGGAAATAAAATCCCTAGAATATGGTATGAACTGCAAAATGCAATTCGATAGAAGTAATATCAGCAAAACCTTGTTTTAGTTTTGTTCATTTGTGGTGGCCATTTTGAAATGATCAGCCATTTTGAAAAAAAGGTTTAATATAACGTCATGACTAACATGGACGTTGAATTACATTTATATGTTTTTAAAAGAATTTATTTGAATATTATATGCTTTGAATAAAAGTGTGTAGGAATACATGAGCACTCAGATAATCCCACATACAAAGACACATCATTTGACAAGGATAAGATTTTGGCGAATCATAAGTCCTTCATGGCTTCAATGAACATCACATTGACCGGAAATCTGAGGATGTAGCTTGTTTGTATTGGATACCTAAGCTCCACAAAATTCCGTACAATCAACGGTACGTTGCCGGCTCATCTGCATGTCCATTAGATTAACAAAAATTCTGTTCGCAGTGAAAGAGGGTCTTCAGAAATACTGTAAAACTGTTTACTCGCATAGAAGTATTAACCATCTGTGGTTTCTTCTACTTAATTTTATATCTCGATCATTCACTGAATTCAATTTTATCAAAACGTTTGATTTTTCAACCCTGTATACCACCATTCTCCACGTGAACTTGAAAAATCGCCCAAAAGAAATAATCCACAATGCTTTCCAATATAGAAATGGTAGCATACGCTATAAATTTATTACTTTGGGATATCATACGGCATATTTTGTAAAGAGTGAACACAAAAACTTAAGGTAAAACATGCTACATAGAGGAACAAATGTTCAGTATGCAGGATTCTTTTTATTGATAACATATTTTATCTTTATACAATAATCTACCATAATTAAAGCTTTAATCAAGGCATGTTCATTCGTTTAGCATTCTGCAGTGCCATTAAACAAGTATAACACAAATTCTCCAATGAAGAATGAAAAAGTGGAAAGCCTATGAAAACAAACAGATTCGAACGTTATTAACCAACGGAACAAGTAAAAAAAAACAGTCATATTCCTGATTTGGTACAGATATTTTCAGAAGAAACGTTATACTAAGATGTTGGGATGAGAACTGACTATCAAGTTTGTTTTGCATTGATGTTGGATATATAAACTTTAATCACACAATGACGCTTTTAAAATTGAATGATGCTGATAATATTATTGATTTAGAATATTAGTCGAATCTGGGACATGTTCGATGATCGTGGTAATGATTGACGTAGTTCTCATAGCTTATTGTATCGCTTAATGAGTAATTATAAAAAATGTTGACAAAGTAATGCGATTTGATGCTCACATAGAACAAATAAGTTTTGTTAAAAAACAGTAAACATAGAATTAACGGAGACGATAGTTATATTTAGCTGAACAAATATAAAGGAAACTTTTATAAGAATAGAGTGGTCAAAAAAAAAAAAAACTTTTCTTTAAAATGAAACAAGATTTAAATGCTGTATTACTACAGGTGTAATACCACCATTAATTTCCCCCTATTAGTCTTTGTTAAATTTGCACTTTTCAAAAAATTGTTCAGAATTTATCTTTGTTTCAAATAAGAAATACTTAGCATGAGTAAAGAGTACCTGTGTACAAGCTTTAGTAACCATGTAACCTCAAGTTTCCAAAATATTCTATAGAAACACCAAATAAAAAATAATGGTGTTTTGAAAAACACAAGATATATGTTTATGACCCAGACATTTAGTACTGCAATGAAATGTAAGATTAAATTCCTACAACTGTCAAATTCAAGGGAATTTTTTTTCGACCCTTTTTCGTATGCAACCGGCAGGGACGTACTATGATTTGATGGTATTACACCTACAACCAACCTAACTGACCATTAACAATTACGAAATTTGCACTTTCCCTTTGCGTAACTATTTTTTTTTCTTCTCAAGATCTATTTTCTACTCACTTATTGTGAACTACATGTTTTTCCTAGTACAGGATGTTTGTTATTACATCAAATATAATTCTTCATTTTTCGGAATTTACGTTGCAGTTTCCTGTATTTATAACTGCTTTTACAACAAATATTCAATCTTGCCACTTATAAATTTGGCAATACACTTCCTATTTTATTTCCAAAAAATACATTACCCATCAAATTAAAATTATTTGTTCGAACTTAGACAAGATTTGCTCTGTTCCGTATCGAGTACAAATGACTTGATATTTTCATACACTATAAGAATATTGTTTTACCTGCAATTTAACATTGAACTTAAAAATATATCTTTCACTATACGAATATTGTTTTTATCCTGCAATGTAACATTGAACTTAGACATATAGTTATTGTTTACATCGCAACCGTTGAATATCTTTTTAAGTGAAATCCGGAAACAGTAATTTGAACGAAACCGTTCGCGCGCATAAGAAGGAGAAAACCAGATGACTATACACGTATACTATAGTTTTATCGCGCCGTGCTTTTTGTTCATCTGTATTTTTATAGTAGAAAAGTCGATTGCAGGATGAATGGAATTACATGAATTGTTTTCTCAAGCTTTGAAACTTTTTGATTTGAACTGTTAATAAACATGAAGATTATTTGTACTCAGCATTACATTGTTTACATTTGTACTGGCAATCATTTAATTGTACCTGTTGTCATTCTAAAATCTAAAACATAATTCTATATGAAAATGTCGTCAATTATATGACATTCCTAAATCAACATCTAGTCCATAACTGAAATACATGAACATGCAACTAGCACCTGTCATGTACTTTTTCATTGATCACAAAATCAATTCTTGAAAGAAATTGTTGGTGTCAATTATAGTTCGGAATCCCAGTAAAATGTTTCTTTACATGACTCCAGCTAAAGAAAACTAGATTGGTCGATGCGCAAAGTATATAAGAATATTTATCATACAATAAAACAAGAGATTATTATTCATTCAGGTCATACACAGTTTTAAATATTACTCCATTTCATGTTTGTACAATTTAATCGTCCTCACTTTAATTTGGCAGAAAATTACATGCACCTGTAGTAATATTTCTCTTGAATGATTTGATTCAGTAACTTTTGTAGATCCTATTTGGACCTTTATCTATTGATAATGTAAAATATGTTTCATCTTATTTTGAATGTGTTTTCATATTTTGAGCAAGATTTGCTTACCCTTCCGGAGCAGCTGAGATCATCAATTGTCGAGATAGGATTTGTGTATCTCAATCTCTAGATTAATACATGGTGTTCCGTGCCCATTGTGTTTTTTCGGTGTTATTTTGCTATCGTTTTGTTAGTTTCTCTTTAACTTATGACTTTTAATGTACTTTGGCATCTTGCATCTCTTTTTTCTAAAATAACATATATTAAAGAGTACCAAATGGCCTTAGAATTTCGTATTCAAAGATATCTGTTTATTTTTTCCACGCCTGTCCGAGTCCTTTGATAGGAGCTAGAACGATAAAAATGTATTATTCATTCTTTTGACGACCATTTATAGATTTTTTTTATATTGATTTATAAGTCAATGAAAAAACAAAGAGATGCGACATATGTCATTAATACAGATATCTATCAGAGATCAAAAATGACAATGATATGAATAATAAATTCTATGTGACATTATACCTTCTTTAGACATGTTAAAAAAAAAAAAAAAAGATATGTGCAGTCAAACTCCGTCCATTTGTTGATACGGACATTTTTCATTCCCTACACCAGTAAGTGAAAAGTACACCTGCTGCGTGCAGGTTGACTAAAATAGGCCGGAGAGTGTTTGATATGGAAAATACAATAAGGTCATTTATACAGTAAAAACTCATTTGATAACTTTCAGCCGGAAAAAAGAATAATCAACCTCTAAAAGGACATCGTTGGCAGATAAATGAAGTTGTATATGTTGTCACATTGCAATACTTCAGATTGTAACCTCTTTATCATGATTATGAACATGAACATACAAGAGATAATTTTGAATTAAAGTAACAGCTGTTTCCTGACAAATCTGCAACAGTGTCAAACGTATATGACACTTTTTTGTTTAAAATTTTATTATTTGAAGTATATAATAAATTGCCATTTAGTACGATTATATGTGTCTCA